CTGAATAGAAGACTTCTCACATAACGGGTGGTGCTCAGTAAAATCAAATCTTGCGTAGATCAAATAGCAAGACTACTCATCATAATCGAACAGGGCAACTTTCTACCTCAACTTCAGTGACTTTGAAAAGGCCCCTGGTGGTGTGGACTGCTGATTAATTTGGAAAATACTTCTACACTACGGCCTAAAATGTCAAAAATATTTATAAACCCCATTCAACAGCCTTATGACGACACAACGTCAGAGGACCCAGTGAGGCTTTTGGAACGAATACAGAAGACAAGACTGCCTACTACTACCCATGAACTTCCTGACTGTGTCACTTCGCGGGTCATGAGGAGTGAGCAGACGGGCACACACTGATCTGACAGAAAGACCCCAGAACATCTGAATGATTTAAATCTCATTTCGCAAGAATTCGATGCTATGGTTGAGGTTGTCAACAAGTTGTTACAAGATTCAGCAAAGACACGACTTCAAGTGAACGTGGAGAAAATAACCATAACAAACATCTGAAGAAATTCATCTCCTTCACTTACCTGATCTCGACAGCATCTCACTGATGAAGACATTAAGACCAATCAGCATCCTATGGAGAAAGCAAGGCCAGCGTTCACCAATCTAAGGTCGGTATAGAGATCTGAGGCAATTACCACAATGAAAAACATCTGAAGTCAAAACAGTAATGTGAAGTCAGCGCTTCCATATAGCTCACGCCTCCTTGGAAGCAGTTCTAACAAACTGCGGATATTCATCGATAGATACTTTTCTGGTCCGTCATTAAAGATCAGATTACCAGCCGGAAAGGATAGACAACAATGAGATGTCATAACGAACCATATGGTAACCCATTAACAGCAAATACGCAGAAAAAGTGTGGATAGATTTTGCGCACGCTGTTGAGACATTCAGCTGACATCGCATGCAAGTATCTCAAGTGGAACTATAATGGTAAGCCATCCGAAGATGGTATGGGGGATATCATGTACAAGGAAAACGAAAGTCTGTGAAATATCGTCGAACCAGCTAAAAATAATAACACAGGACAGATTATAACGGAGATGTGGTGCTGAAGCCCTATTCCACTCGAAACACAAAGAATGAATAATAAAATGATTATAATCTCTCTATCGGACTTGAATGAGATTTAATTGACTTTTCACTTTTATGTAACAATCAAAAGGCCTTACAAGTGTAAGTATGCAGCAAACTGAATTTACAATCACTGCACGACAGCTGAATCAATAAACGTACATTCACAAATTAAAATGTTACTGTCTCGAAATTTGTTCTTATGAATTCATTAGAATAAATATAAAGTCTAGATGAGTAGGCTGATTTCCATCTAAATGAATGTTTCGTTTCACTTTGGATTTTTTCTTTTCAGTTCAGTTTACGGATAACGATTTCATAAGTGCTGTTGTCACAATTGTTTTAAGAATACAACGATGAAAATGAGTAAAGAAGAAGGCTTTAATGATTGGAATTTTGAGAAGGTTAATAAAGTATGGAAAAGAATTTACTAGACATTCAATTCACATCACCAGTTTAGAGTGAATTAGTTAGACTCAAAGAAAACTCTTAGTTTCATTTTAATCAACAGTAGATTCTGTCAAAACTCATAAAAAACAAGTAGTCATACATAATTACTTAGTTTAAGAGTATTAAACCTGAAATTTTCATAAAATTCTCTTAAAATAATATTTGAGTGTTTGGATACCTTTTCGAGAATTTCGATAGTACTGATTAATTTAACAGATACTATACTTATTCGGGGGTTACGAGTTCACTTGAGATTACAATCGTTGGCGTTTAAAGGCTAAATCATTCATAAATAAAATGGCTTTAATATGCGACTAATAATTGGCTATTCTGATCATTGAAGTCACTATCAACTTCAGGTGTGCGCTGTACCAGGCATAAGATGTTAGCGAATAGTTACAAATCGGTGAACCGACCTTATATTCACATTTCTGTTTTACTAAGATCCGAGACTTCAGAATTCATTGTCTGTTTTTTCTCACTTTTTGAGTGTTGAAAAGACGCATAATTCTCACTTTTTTGGACGTAAGACTGGCAACCCTACCGTGTAAAAACAAAATCATTGTTGCTAAAGCTTCAGAAGCTAAAAACACTATAATCTACTAGGACTGCAAGAAATGAAAATACTGCAATCAAGGGAGTAATTGTTTTCGGAATACTTCTGTTTATTTATTGCACTTTCTGAATGGTTTCTTAGTACAAAACAAAATTTCCGGATGAATGAAACAAAACAGCAGGTGTTTTGGTGATAAAATCGACGCTGTTTGAATTCTCTATGAATCTGTATTAAAAAATATATGTTGTGGTCATCAGTTATTGTCAACATTCCCGATTAAGATGATTTGCAAACTTAATGTAAGAATAACAAACATAAAACTGGATTTAAAGTTGATCGGTAGAAGAAACTTGGTGCCATCACACAGTGAAATTTTCTCCAGTTGACTTAAATCAGTGAATGAATGTGAGATAAGAAAAATATGTGGTTAACACTAGGATATAAAAGTAGTTTCATCATCTTACCTTATTGTATGTCCGTGTACTTATGCTAATTCACTTGCCTAAAATGAAACCGTGAACTCATTGAGAAAAGACTCACCTTTTATTTAAACTGAAAACATTTTATACAGTACAGAATTTACCGATCTGGTGGTGAGCTGTTAGCTGACAATACTTTACCAGTTGGGTGGTAATCAACCTAAAACAGCAGAGTTAAAATAAAACAGTAGTGCATTACAAAGTACTCAAAATTAAAACTGTTCGGAGGTTGAAAAATATGAGGAACTACATCAATGGATTCATTAAATGGCTATAATGTTGAGGAATTTAAAGTGGAGAAAATTAAGTACAGCACACAATAGCTTGTGGTTTACAGAGCGATAAGGTGAAGCGCTAATATTTCGTAGTTTGATAATACTGATTTGTAAGTTCATAGGGCAGAAAGCCGGTGCAGGAATTTTGCTTATAAAAGTGGACGCCTATTGTTCCTAAATTTGTAAAGGAAATCGAAGATTAGACTGGAGGAGGTAAAGAACCCTAGAGATTGCGTTATTCTCACCTCTCTCAGCTAAATCTATAATTTGTAAAAGAACAGAAATACTAAGTGACTACGTCTATCCCTACAAGATAATCCTTTAAAATCCGACACAACTTGTATAACACCTAATTCATCCGTCTCCAGTCGAGCAACTGGACTGAAAACTTAACATTTTAGAGGCAAATGAATAATCTTTAGGATTCTGATATCGCTTGAGCCGCGAGACGCCTGTGTACTGTATGTTCTTCTTGTGTCATTTTTGAAGGTTATTTTATGATTTTAGAAAGTGATGGTCTTTCAGCTCTGGTTCGCATAGTCTTTCAGTGTCCCAGTATTATCAGGTGTATATTGAAGATACCCGCCTCTCTTACTTAATTTAAACTTAAATTAGATCCGAGCCTACAAGACAACAGGTAATAGGGAAAAATGGCACTGCTACATCACATTGCTAAACCATCTTAAGATAGTCCTTTCACTATCCGCCACATCTGAAACTATTTACATTCTTTTTTCAGTCTTCATAATAATAATCACAATAGCTTAATTACACATAGTAAGTTTACATAGTATGCATAATTTTCAGCGTAGTTTATGGCATAATATTTTCTCTTCATCCAGGAGTTTAAAGTAAAACAGACATCTCCAGTGCATCATGTGACGCAGTGATTTTAGATATTTGGCGAACCACAGACGTAATTGAATGATTATAATGACGAGAACTAAAGAGAATAAGATGCATATTCTCGGTATCTCAGGTATCCCAGTGATTCAAGCAGTCCGCCAAAGTGATTAGATATATTTTAGTTATAATTTATGTACAGCAAATATAAGTAGCTACTAAACCTCCTGTGGGCATCAGATAGTCAGCCTTAACGTATATTCTCCATAGAAATTTTCCTAAGACTTCTTTTAAAATTGATGCATGGACAACACTGAAAACTGTTGTCTGCTTTCAGTTTAAGATGTATTTCCCACTGATTATGTCCAACTGAAACGCTTGAGTTATGCTGACATGTCGGCGTCTGTTCTACAGACGCTTCCACAATATGTGACAATTAACATGATGTTCTTTTGGTTAATGGTGACTAGCAGTAGAATTTAGGAGGCTCGTTTCGACCTGTTTGGAAGTTACCAGCTAGATTTACCTGCCTCCTCAATGAGAGATAGTGTTCCCAGGGGGTTACAAACCCTGAAAGAATAAATATTTAGAAGCGTATTATTTGCTTCTCCATATTTGGTACTCTTTGTCTTCTGAGAGGAAATTTCACGCATTCAATGCATTTTTGTGTAAGCGTTCTATATCTGATACCACATTCCAAACCTTAATTTCAGAATAAATGAATGTACTGATCTGTTATTGTCGATACAATCTGAAGTGTTTCATTTAATAAGAAATCAACCCTTAACGTAAGCACTGATGTAACTAGCAGTTTATTTTTTGTCTTATGCATCAAGACTGGGATGTTTTTAGCTGACTGGTTCACTGAAACAGGTGAGCGAAAAATCTCCTTAAACTGCTTCATTAAAGCGAAGTGCTGCAATCTGATTGGTCTATAGTACTTTCTCTTGATTGGGTCAAAACATACTGGATGAATGATATGAAGGTCATTTATTCACTTCTTTCTATATTTTTTTCCATAAGCGATGACTGTTCTGACTGGCAATGCTTGAATTTAGGTCACATTACCATTTAATAGGAAAAACAGAGTTGATTAAAAGATGGAAGTGTTATCGAATTCACATTATTCATCTTAATCAGTATTAAAAAATATACAAGCGCCTATAATGTTCACTGAGATTTACATAATTCTTGATTATTTATTACAATTCATACATTCGACTAGGCAAGGCACTGAAAACTCAGGCATACCATTTATCCTAAATTCTAATCCATGTTTCTTGGATCCTTCAATTTGTTTTCAAGTTCCGTCGGCTCCACGAAATCTACGCCTCAATCAGTTGAGAAGAGCTACTCCACCCGGTGCAAGCGATCCAAAAGCAGACTATGCAATCTTGGAGTTAGCGTGGGATCCCCCAGAAAGAACACATGGTGACATTCGAGGTTATCAAGTGTCTCATCGTTTGATTGGTCCTATTGATGTTCTGTATAATCATGCAAGTCGTCTGGATACTGATTCGAATTCACGTGTTACGGCTAAACCAGTAATAAGGAATGTTACACAAACTGCATATACCTCAGGTTTATCAGATGGAATAAGTAAGTCACTGCATTTATAACTGACGTTATTTACTTGGTACTGTAATGTCTTTTTAAGAATTAACCTAATCGACTACAATTCCTCATTATTTTAGCTATTTTCCATGCATATGGTGGATTTCCCGCAAACCTCAGTTACAGGTGCATAACTGAAACTGAATAGCAGTGTATTTGCATATGCGATTCAAAATGAGACACAAAATCCCTTCAACTAGCTGTTTTATTTCTGGTCTCATTTATTCTGTTTAGCATTCAAAAGGGCAGCTGATGTCGTTGATTAAAATCCTGGAGTATTTGAGTGGTAAAGGTTTTACTCACTGTAATCCCACCACCCGTAATTAACTTTATTTTTGTATGAATAATTCCAGTAGCGTAAAATAACTTCTGATTCTATGAATTTTTATTCGACCAGCTCACCACATAATATTTATTATATTTATTATTTGTTGAGACGATTTCCGTGAACCACTAGAGCCAAGCTCCGTTTAGATAATATCTATGTTTGTTGAATTTCAGTTATAAACATTTAAATATCTTAAGGTAGCGTCAGTGTGCGTAACTCTATTTTATGAGGCTTAGGGTTGATTTTGACACATTCTTACTGACTTAACTAATTTCTGATCTGATATTTCATTATTTGTGAAGACATAAGAAACGAGATAGAAAAATATCTAAGCGATTGGGGGAAACTTTCTGAAAAGATTCAACTCGTAGATGATCCCGTTAGCACTCATAGCAGACTGATTTATTTCTCTTTTATGATTCCAAAGCGCTGTTCGACTTTAAATTCATATTTCTAGTGCTACGAACTCCCCAGTTTTTTAAGAGCTATTAAAACTACTTCTGTTCATTTTCCAAACTAAAAATAATCGTTTCACTGCTCATAAACGTGTGAAAACTGTTAATATCTTCGGTAATGAAGGTCGAAGATTGCATTGTCATGGGGAATATTCATTCTCATAAGACTACACATATTCCATTTTAATGAGACTCAGCAGACGAGTATCCTGGGTCCACAGCTTATTGCCATTGTTGCCTATTTATCTTTCCTTTCGATAGTTTCCTTGTGTTATCTAAATCTATTTATTGATTTCAAAATTTCTGTTAATGGGACTTCAAACTCAATGCCTCCTTTAACATACAAGTGGAGCTTTATGCAGTGTGGTGCTACTTTTGTCTAAATGAATTTCAACAAATGTTGTGAGTGATATCGCTAATAACACGCGTAGCTCTTTTTTTCTATCGGCTACAGTTGAATACTTTATTTTTGAAGGCAAAAAAGCTATGCGTTTTGTATCCATTCAAACTTCTGAACCTTAACAGTCGTTTTTGTAGTAGATTTGAAATCTAGGAGATACTTTCTGATAAGCCTTGTTTATGTATAGATAAACTGATAATGCAGCTGACTAAATCTTATTTGATATGATGTTCAGTTCCATTTTTCATGCAAATAATACTACGCTAACACATGAAAATTTCGAATGCGAAATCAGCATTGCTAAAATACGAAAGGATTGAACCAGATGAATTTAATAATAGCACAACTTGAACACCTTCGTCCAAATAAGTGTTGCGTTCTATCGAATCACCTGCAATCTTAGTCCTTATGTCTTAGAGCACATTATTTAACTCTGAATGTTTGCATATACGGCATCATATGGACAGCAGTAAATATTATTTGTCACTAGATATTGTTTTCGTCATCTTATTATGACAGCAGTGGAAAATAAGTCTATAAACCTGCCATGAATTAAAGACCGTAAGTAATACTGATATCTCTCACTTTTTGAAACAAAAGTGATATCACTCTTGAGAGAAGAGTAAGACAAAACAATTTGTATAGTCAGACATCTGTGCAGTCTTGCTATTGCACCTGATTTTCTTGAAGCGATTTCTTTATCCATTTCTGAAAAACAAAAGATAGTTACATGTTACTTGTAGAAATAACAAGTGAGTAAATATGAATTTATTGTCAGTGACCAAATGCTTTTGTCTCCAGACGTAGCCTTGGGCAGTTTAAACACAATGCATTCACATAACTGGATAAATCAAAGGTTTCTCGAAAAACTCAGATAATGGTGTTGAAACTCTTGGTCATATAAAATGTGTATAACACTTCTGTACCAAGTTCCTATGTGCTTTTGGCAATGGTTTAAGAAAAACGGCTATTAGAATTCTCGCATACAACTCTCTATTACTCCACAAAAAGCTCAATGGTATATGGGTTTCATAAATACCAGGTGACAAAAGGTTATACTTATAAAATTTAATTAGGAAGAATGACAGCAAGTTCTACAAACATACAGCTGGATGTTGAGGTGTTTTGCGCTGGATAAACACTGAGTGAGATTCTGCAGCTTATTATGTCCTTCATATTTTACAGATTATTTAGATAGTTTATACTTCAGCTGCAAAATAAAAGCTTTCCACTGTATAAAATGCAAACACATCCGAATAAATTAATGACCGTCTGATTCGTTGAACTTAATAATAATAATAATTTGCTTTATTCCAAAACAGTACTTGTGATACAGAATGGAATTCTCAGCATTTTTACTACAGTATTGCATCCAGTTTGTACATTATCCCTTCAAAGCATCCGACTTTAAAGTATGCAAAGGGAATAATTACTAAGTAGGACGAAATATCAGTTTTTCTGCTATGCTTGTTCTTCGGTTATCTAATGTTTCTTATCATCAATCCCAAAACCTAAATTTGGACTACAGGACTATATATATATATATATATATAACATTCAATCTCCGTAGAAATCTTGTTTCAGCCATATTATTATATCGATAGTAGCAAATACTAGTTTTATTTCAATGTATAAATATATCCTCATTTACGGATATGCCTATTACCAAATTCCAAAGTCTTGGTACTTGCCATTTAGAAATGTATCATTTAGAATGAATACATGATGTGCAATTAGAAGCTGAGTCTGATTTCCACCAGTATTTTACCTGATTTTAACTATTGGAAGCAAAAATATGTTTCCTTTTAAATCGGTAAAAGTTATTGTCACTTTTATTTGCAACATAGGTAATAAATTGTATCACTCTAGACAGTTTACATATTTCTGTATATTTCTTTGCGCGCGTGTGTGATTAGAAAAGAATGAACAACTGTTGTCTAGTGTAAAAAATATAAACAAGGCTCTTTTTTAATCCCATTTACATGCCATTAATAAATTATTTGTTATTCACACTGATATTGTGCTACAGATATTATTCTTATTATAATTCAGGGTTGTTTAGTCAATTATTTTTTTTGGTGTATTTGTCGAAAACTGTGCATTGCTGTCATCCTAGTGGTAGACTCTTTAAAGTGTGCTTTAAGAAACCGGTCTTCAATACTCTTTCTAAAAATAATATACAGAAAATAATAAACACAGAATAATGTCTGGAAAGCAAAATGAGGCGTGCAAACTTTGGAACAGTTGGTACTTTTGTAATACTGTTTTGATGATAATGGTACTGGTGGAGAGAACAATTTACTTAATTTTTAATAACTTTGTTACTTCTTTGAGTGTCAAGCTAAATGACCAACTCAAGGTTTTCATAAAATGACTAACACTCAGCCTTCTATTATTCATCTGCACATACATAAAAATACTGCGATTGCATTGGTAGTCACCAGTTCTCATGTTCGTTTTTTATCACTTACGTGCACTGAAGGATTAGTCGACACAGGAAAACTGCAGAATGAAAAATATTTAGGAATTATGATTTAGTTTGATCCACTGAGAGAGAGGGCTCTCGAGTGGTTGCGCCACAGAAACTGCATGCCCATCTCTTCTCGCAAGAGGCAGGGATAGATGTGTACAGTTCTCCTGAAAACCAGTACCCAGTCAATGGGTGTACCATTATGTGTCTGCACTCAGAATAAAGAACAAGATTCAGATTTTCAACATAAATGTAAAGTCAGTCAGTTAGTGCTTCTAAATAGATCAGAAACTTGCACTGCGTGTCACGAAAAGGATTTTCGACAGCTTACTGCAGACTTTTATCAACAGCTGCTGCCAATGGTTCCGTACTGAAGGCCAAATGGCCAGAAAGAATTAGCATGAAGAAACTGTGGGAACAAACTAACCGAGAGCCAATCGCTCAATATGTTGAAGAGAATGGAAATTGATCGAGCATACGTTGTGGAGGCCGTCGAATGACATCGCATGCCAGGCCCTAGGGTGGAATCCAAATGGCAGGCGACGAGTGGGTCATCAGTGCGAGGGTGACATGTAGGATATCGTGCGAAGAGGAGGCGAGAGAGTATGGGGAATCGTAGACCTAGCTAAAGAGGATGGCAGAAAATGGAATAATGTGAAGATGTGTTGCTGACGCCCTATGTTCCACTCGGAACTCAAGAGAATAATAATAGTACAATATATGATTTACTTATTAATGACAAGAACTACGTACATAGTGGATTAGTTGAAGAATCACATCTATCACTTTTGATATGAAAGAAAACGACTGACTTATGAATGATAAAGATCTTATCCACGGCAAATGAACAGTTGCGTAAAATGTTAAATGAAATAGCCAAACGGACACCTTCAGGAATCTCCAGTTTTTCAGAATAAATTTTAGAACACACTTCTCTCAGGAAATGACAAATAACCTAGCACTGTTTGAACACATGCTTTCGCTGTCTACTCCAGTAGTTACTCTGTGACGAATTATGCTGTAACTGTAGCTTTGATGAAATCTACTTGTTCATTTGAAGAAGACTTTGCTAATTACATCCTATTTACTTATACAACCTGAAGTCAGTGAACAAATAAACGCAAATGTTTTCATTCTGTAAGTTATATTCTATTCACTTTCGAAGTTGCAAACGACTTTAGCTAATATGTCTTAATCAAAATAAATTGATTTAATCTACTATTTTCTATTGTTCGTTTGTTGATTAGGGCGTGACATAATGCTAATGGAATTTTCCATGAGAGCAAGCTTAGTGTATAATGTTACTATAAATGTACGTAATTTCATATTAGT